ATGGGTCAGCTTATTTTCCAAAGCACCAGAGGGCAGGACAAGAAACAATGGATAGAAACTAATCAAGGAGAGAAGCAACTTGGAATTAAGGAGAAACTTCCTTACAGACAGAACAATCAACAGTGGAACAACTTGCCTTCAGAAGTTGTAGATGCTTTGTTACTGGAGTTTTTTTAAGAAGAGACTGGACAGCCACTTGTCTGAAATAGTATAGGGTCACCTGCTTAAGCAGGGGGTTGAACTAGAAGACCTCCAAGGTCCCTTCCAGCTCTATTTTGAATTATTTGTGCAGATGTGTTTGGAATGCAATTCTTCATATACTGAACATGGCAGAGACATTGTGCATCTATCCTATTGCAGAGAGGATTTATGTCACTAGTCCCATTCCAGTTCAATTCTATAGATGGAAAGGTAAATTGCCAACATGTATTTAATCTCAAGTCAGCATAACGTCTTCACAAAGGCTCATGCAAAGGTCACATTCTTTCTCTAAGGAACTCTTTCCATTTGCTGGATGCTAATAGTCAGATTGCTACTTAAACTCCCTTCCATTAAGATAGCCCAGCTTTAAAAGTGTTTTAAGTTAGCTGGATTCTGTCCAGCCTTTCTCCCAAGACAACAAAAAGATGTGATGCAGGAGAAAACTGGGAGTAAAACCAATGCAGATATAAAAATAAGAAGGATGGATTTTCCATAAAAAGCAGCCCATAAAAATTAATTAGAGATGGAAATTTAGGCTGTAGATCCTGTGCATCACTGGTGATGCTAAATTAGCAGGGCATTTTACTACAACACTGTTTTCTAATGTTTTCTTTTTATTTCAGTTCATTGCCTGGTTCCACCCACTCCACAAGTTTTAATGGTGTCATATTAGTCTGTTGTTTCTTTATCTTCTTTTTTACTGGTGTTACTTCCCAAGATCTCAGATTAGAAATAAAGTAAATAGATGAAATATACAGTACTCTTGACTAATCATAGGAGGGGTTTTGGGGTTTTTTACAGTACAGTGCTATCCAGTGCCTTCCTTAATTTTCATTACAGGTAGTCCTTGACTTACAACTGTTCATTTAGTGACTGTTCAAAGTTGCAATGGCACTGAAAAAAAAGTCTTATGACCAGTTTTCACACTTAGGACCTGTCAACATCCAGCTTGAGGATCCCCCCAAAAGTAAAATCTAGGTTCATTCCATTTCCGAAAATCTTACTGTTTATTGAATACACAGCATGGTAATGTTGAAGCAAGACTAACTCTGAGGTTCCCAGACATCAGTTCATAGAATTAAACAATAATTTCTCCGGCCCAACCCCCACTCTGTCACGTAGACCATGTAAACAATTTCACTTTATTATGGGAACTGTCTGCTTCTTCTCCACACCTGCTGCAGTGTCCTTCAAAAGGTTTCAGGCTCTCACAATGTTCAGCGGAATCGTAGAGGTTTCATTTCTCCATCTAACCCATTCTAAAGTAACACTTCCCCCCCCCCCTTACTCTAATGGCAAGTTGAAAAGAAGAGGCACATAGTTGCCAAAATTTCATTCTTGATTTGACTGTTGTAACGTGATCATAATACAAGCATTTGGTAACTGGCACACATTTACGATTGGGATCATGGGATCATCATTTGTGGCCTTCCCAGCTGGTTTCCGACAAGCAAGGTCAATGGAGGAAATCAGATTTGCTTAACAATCGCAGTGGTTTGCTTAACAACTGTGGGGGGAAGGGTCATAAAATGGTGTACAACTCATTTAACAACTGTTCAGCTTAGCAATGAAAATTTTGGGGTCAATTGTGGTTATAAGCTGAGGACTACCTGTACAGGTAGTCCTCAACTTACAACAGTTTACTTAGTGACTGTTCAAAGTTACAACAGCACTGAAAAAAGTGACATATGACCACTTTTCACACTTATGCCCCTTGCAGCATCCCCATGGTCACGTGGTCAAAATTCAGATGTTTGGCAAGTGATTCATATTTATGATGGTTGCAGTGTCCCGGGATCATGTGATCTTATTTTGCAACCTTCTAACCAGCAAAATCAATGGGGAAGCCAGATTCACTTAATAACCATGTTAGTAACTTAACAACTGCAGTAATTCATTTAACAACAGTGGCAAGAAAGGTCGTAAAATGGGGCAAGGCTCACTTAACAAATGTCTCATTTAGCAACACAAATTTGGGGCTCAGTTGTGGTGGTAAGCTGAGAACTACATTTATTTCATTTTGAGTGGAAGAAGAAATACAAAAGGAAGCAGACCACAAAAAAAGAGAGAGGGAGGTAATGTTTAATATTTTTGGATTCTTCTGGATAAAAACCTCCCCATATGCCATCAAATATACGAATGAGCTGTCAGAGCATCAGAGAACTGTAATTTCAACTCAATATTGATTTGTTTTAGAAATTTCTAATTCCACGCCCTTACCCTGAAAGATGGAAAGCAGGATGGGCAGTCTACACAAAACATCAATTCATATCACAGTAAAAGTGAGGCATGCATCAAACATTATAGGTAATAAAACTGAGAGATGATCAGAAGAAAACTATTCAACCAATGAAATCTTGGGAAATCAATAAACTGTTTGAAGAAATAAGCATTTCTTTTACTAAGGGGGCAAACCGTGCTATGTCTGCACCCGTCATGCTTTCCTTGAAAGGACATTTTAATTTCAGCCTGGAGGGGGTATGTCCTGGGAATTAATTCTTCTTCTTGGTTGTAGATGCTTATGGTGTCAACTCTACAAACCTGGCTGCAGCCATCTTGCTCGTTGCATGAATTGGAATTGGATTTGGATGGCCACCTGCTCAACAAAGCACCTTCCCTAATGAAGAGAGCAATTTTGTTTCATGAAGATGATCACTAGTGATCTGGAATGAGAAGAAGAGGTCCTCCAAGAATTTCAATTGAAAGTCTTCTCCAGCTTTCAACTGGGCACAGAAATCTACATGGCTGGATAAAATTAAGGCCTGTCCAATCAACTCCCTTTTGCCCATCATGTGGTCAGCTAAATGAAGCTCACAATAAAGTATACTCGTGTAGTGGTGAAAGTATTGGACTATACTGAGAAGAGTCACATTCATGTACACCTTCAGACATGGAAAGTCATGGGCTGACTTTGGGACAGTCTCTGAGTAACCTGACAGGCAACTAAACAGGCAGCTCCAAGATCTCACCTACACTCAATCAGATCTTCCCCACCACAGTTCAAGGAGAGCCACTTGTTTTCTCCACAACAAGTGATGCTCCATCAATCCACAAACACTTTTCAATTTGTCCTGCATTGAAACACCAAGGACAACACCACTCACCAGACTAGTTAAGGAAATGCAAGACTTCTGAAAGGCTTGCTAAGAAAATGCAAGGGACTTATCGAAGCAGTCACGAAGTCTGCAAATGTGTCTGTGTGTGATGTGTGTGTAGGGTATGTGTGTTTATAACATTGCTAAGTCTCTGGATTGCAAATAGATAGAAATATGGTAAATAAATAAATGCATAAACATACACAATGTATATGGGGGTTATATATGTACACAACAAATATGAATATCTGTTCCCAATTGTTTGCTTCTATCAGGCCAACCAAAACCCAAACCAACTGTTTTATTCATGCTATTACTGTAATAGTATGTGAAAAAGATCTTGAAATATGGGGTGAAAAAAGTGCTGCGTATGGAACAGTCAGATAAGAGAGGTCACAGTCCACAGCTGCATAATGGGTGGAGAAAGAGACTCGGAAGGGACCCGTCCTCTGGTTCTCAGGTTGTAAATGAGACGGTGCCAGATTTGTACTTTCAGACCTGCAAGATTCTGTTAATGCAGGCTTATAATAAAGTAGAATTAGTTCATCTGATTGGGTTTCTTGTCTCATCTCCCTGATCTACCCATTATGATAGTGTTATGGTTTAAATGAGTTTAAATTGTAAAACTGTGGATACTACCTCACTCTTTCATCAAAGTTGACCAAATGACCCAGCTACTGACCCAACAGATCAAACTACACTCAATTAATTGCAAAGAATTAAATCTGGAAATGCAGTGGACTTGGTTCTGGTTAAGCTCTCAAGACACCTACCTACATTTACACAAAATTTGTTGGAAGCACTTGTCTTATAGGACATTATGGAGGGAAAGTTGCTCCATAAAGTTTTTCATTATTGTAAATTTAGTCCAGACAATGGCAAACATAGGTTTAAGTCCTCCTTGAAGTAGAAGGAGAAGTCAATTTTCAGTCCAGCATTGCTATTTATTTCGCTGTTACATACGTAGTTATTTACCCACTATGCCCATCACAGAGGCGAGGGGACAAGACAGGATGGGACGGGATGGGAGGAGAGGAAAGGGGTGGAGTATATTTTTACACTTTTTTTAGGGGGAGATGTTGTTACATGGGGGCCAAGAATGTAGTGTGGATCTTCCACTGAACAAACATCTTTTTATTTCCCAGCCTCTTTGGTCTCTAGTTGTGGTTAGTCAAGAATAAGTAAAGAGATAAGAAAATGTCTAATAGAAAATAATATCAGCAGTAACTCAAGAGAACTTTATGATACCCTTCACTGTCTCCCTGCTATCTTTTTGAAAACAACTTTGCTTTAAGCCATTTACTTTACAACTGTGTTGAGTGGACAATCTACAAATCCCAGTTCATCATTCTATTTTGTTTGTCCAAAAAGAGGCATATTGATATAATGGTATCAGAGTATGCACTGAATTCAACTGTATTTCCCATATCTTACAGAGCTGCAACATGGGATGTTGGAAGCAAATGGCTTAAAGCAAAGAAAGCTCAGAAATGAAAAACAATTACCATTCTGAAATACATGATGCAGTGGAAAACATGGTTAAAGTAATTTGTCCTGCAAGCCCAACAAACTTTACAGAGACACAATATGCAGCAACAATGGAACAGCCAGTAACATGACACCATTTTTTGTGCTGACACATGGGGCAACACAACAATGCAGAAATGTCTGTAGTGGGATTCAAAGAAGCCAAAATACAAAAGCTTATTTTTTATTATTATTCTGGAGTTATAACAGGATCCTCTATACAGGACAGAATTACAATACAAAACTGAAGGCACATAGAAAATATTATTTTGCATACAAACAGCTTTTCTGTGTGACACAATGGAGCAGTAATTTCTTGAATGTATTTATTTTTTCAAAATACCCTAGTTGCTAATTATTTCTTCTGATGGTCCCTCATCTGTTGCTCCAACAATGCAGTCGTCTACAAGTCTTTATTCAGTATTATTAACTACATATACAACAAAGAATGTCATTATGACGAGGAACAGTTGGCTCTCTTCAAGGTCACTTTAATATGGTACCAGAAGACAAGTAAGTGAGTGAAGATATCATCATTATATTATGGATTATATCATTATCACCACCTTAGTGCTGTTGCAAATTTGAACGACAGCTGCTGGGCTGAGTGGCTTTTAGACTTTCGCCTCCTGCTTACTGAAGTACAGAAACTCTACATCCTACAATGAATAGTGACAGAGGATGAGAGGAATTCACACAGGGAAGAGTTATAGGACAACCACAGCTATTCTGGAATAGCTTACTTGACGTGTGAGTGCAACACTTAGCAGTGGAAGCAGATTAGCTTATCAAGCAATAGCTCTGATTATTTCATTTATTTTATGAAGCAATAAGGCTTGATCAGCTCTACAATCATTGCTTCAAATGCTTTTCAGGTAATTAAGCAGCTTCAACTATTTCAATGACCTGAAGAGGTCTTCTCCAATCAAACTGCACAAGTGATACTTCTGGCCATAACTGTGATTGCTACTATTTTACTGCACTTCTAGGCCTAGTGTCTAGAAAAGCTGGACATTTCTTTCCAAAGTACCATCTACGGTGTCCAGTTAAGGTTACAGTTGCTTAATTCTCTGCTCTAATGCAATAACTTCTCTTTCCATCTCATACGGGAGATCGGCATTCACTTGCTCTGCAAAATATTTCTTGATTTCTTCTACCTCCTTTTCCCAAAACTCCTTGGAAATGTCACACAGTTTCTGGAGGCTGACCCTTTCCAAGCCTTTCAAATTCAATCCTGTGTCGTTGGGGACATAGCCAATGGCTGTCAGCTGTGCGCAGTCTTCTCCCTGGATGCGGTTAAACATCCATTCCAGCACCCGAGCGTTCTCACCGAAGCCAGGCCAAAGGAATCTCCCTTGCTCATCTTTCCGGAACCAGTTGACATGGAAGATCTTTGGAAGTTTTGCTGTAGGCCGATGTGCCATGCTGAGCCAGTGGGAAAGATATTGGCCAAAGTTGTACCCGAAGAAAGGTCTCATGGCAAAAGGATCATGCATGATGATCTTTCCTGGGGGGGGAAAAAAGCATGGGAGGCCTCATAATTAGACCACCATTATTTTTACGATCACTTGGTCCACATTTACTCACTTGAAATCATGCAGCCTGGATATCTGACTCAGGTAGTCTTTGAATTATGACAATTGAGCCCAACGTTGCTAAGTGAGACATTTATTAAGTGAGTTTTGCCCCATTTTACATCCATTCTTGCCATAGTTGTTAAGTGAATCACTGCCGTTGTTAAATTAGTAACACGGTTGTTAAATGAATCTGATTTTCCCACTGTCAGAAGGTCCCAAAAGGGGAACACTTGACAGTGGAACCATCCTAAATATGAGTCAGTTGCCAGGTGTGTGAATTTTGATCACATGACCCCGGGGATGCGGTAGAGATCATGAGCGTGAAAAATGGTCACAAGTCCCTCTTTTCAGTGCTGTTGTAACTTTGGTCATGAACTGTTGTTAAGTCGAGGACTACTTGTAGTAGTCAAAATCAAGGAACTTTTAATCTAGGCTTCTTAGTTTAGGACTCACAGTATTCAAGGGTTATTATGATTATTTTTTCTTTAACCTGTAGCTGAGCAGGATCCTCCCACTGCAGGCAAAGGTACTCTGGGCTAGAAACAGAGTCGCAATCAAAACTGGGGCAAGCATTAAAGCTCCATTCTCCCATGTCATCTGTCAGATCTGGACTGTCCCTCCTGTTCCACTAATTATTCAACCCCGTGATCTATCTCCTTCTCTCTCTTGCTATATTAAAACAGACAATGTGATAAAAAAAATCACATCTCTTTAATTTCAGGGAACTGTTGTGTGGATTGCAACAGGAAGGTGCAGAAGGTAAATCTGTTGGAACCAAGCTTGCAAAATACACACATACACGCACACACACGAGTACAGGCAGTCTTGCCTAACTAGGCACAAAGCTGGGTGGATATCTTTCCTCATTTTTTTCTCCAAATTTATCTCTACTACCAGGAAATTGAATCCTACATCCATCATGCTTCCCAGATCCATGTCTTGGTTCTGAATGTGGAGGACACATAATAATTATCTAAGGCAGAGTTCCCCAGCCTTTTGGGCACCATGGACCAGTTCCATGGAGAAATGTTTTTTACACAGACCGGAGGGGTTGTAGGTTTGCATGTTGCTGGCATCCCACAGATAGGGCTTCACTGGTATGTGCAGACCGGTTTCTGGCACGCCGCGTACCAGTACCAGTCCACGGACTGGGGATTGGGGACCCCTGATCTAAGGTAGACTAGAGTAGAATAGAGCCTCATGCATAAAATCTAACTATTTTTTTTATTTATACAATGACCCAATTGCATGCCCCATATGGGGCGACAATTATTTAAGTAAGTAAGTGAGTGAGTGAGGGAGGGAGGGAGGGAGGGAGGGAGGGAGGAAGGAAGGAAGGAAGGAAGGAAGGAAGGAAGGAAGGAAGGAAGGAAGGAAGGAAGGAAGGAAGGAAGGAAGGTTCCTTCAAGTGTTCAGAATTTCTAGGTGAAAATAATGAGTCACACCGCTTAAATGCCAAGGCATTACTTCACATTGGCTTACCTTTATATTCAGCAGCGGCTGTTGCTTCTGATCTCATTGTTGCACCAATGAATACTCCGTGCTGCCAGTTAAAAGCCTCATAAACTAGAGGCACACCTGGAGAAAACAGAATGGTTGGAATATTTAAAGGTTAGTGGTGCTGCACCTAATTGAGTTTGCTGCTTTAGATCACTGCAGGCAGCTGGCATATGTTCACCAGCATTTGCAAATTTGGGATCACTGCATAGCCATCCTCCCAGTGGCTTATCTAATCTATTTAGAACGTAAACAGTTCTATCTGTCTTAAGGTACAAAGAGTCAGGGAAGGAGGTTTATGTTAGCTATGGCCCCTTTGCCTCTGCAAAGGTACTGCTGAGTAGTACTTGTGGTGGGAAGAGAGTTCAGTATTGTGAATGGCAGGAAAATGTGACTTTCTCTGATCAAAGGCTATCTAAGAACTATTCTATATGTACCATGAAAGCTCTGATGGCTTGCAAATTAACTACAGCTAGACATTATACGCCAATTCCGTCAATCTGGTGCCCTATAGAAACATTGGGACTGCAACCAATCAATCAATCAAAATAGAGCTGGATGGGATCTTGAAGGTCTTGTAGTCCAACCCTCTGCTCAAGCAGAAGGTCCTATACTATTTCAGACAGGTAGCTGTCCAGTGTTTTCTTAAAAACTTCCAATGATGAAGCACTCATAACTTCTGAAGGCAAGCTGTTTCATCGGTTAATCGTCCTCACTGTTAGGAAGTTTCTCCTTAATTCCAGGTTGCTTCTCTCCTTCATTAGTTTCCATCTATTGTTTCTTGTCCTGCCCTCTGGTGCTTTGGAAAATCAGTTGACCCCATCTTCTTTGTGGCAGCCTCTCAAATACTGGAATACTGCTATCATGTCACCCCTAGGCCTTCTTTTCTCTAGAACACGGGTGTCAAACTGCCGGTCTATGGGCCGGATGCGTCATGCCGAAACCGCGCCCACCCCATTGCCGGCAATCGGGAAAAAAGTCACGATACATCGCAACATGTCACGTGACGTTGTGAGTTTGACATCCCTACTCTAGACTGGCCATACCCAAATCCTGCAACCCTTCTTCACATGTTATTGTCTCCAGGCCCTTAATCATTTTAGTTGCTCTTCTTTGCACTTTTTCCAAAGTCTCTACATCTTTTTTGTAATGTGGTGACCAAAACTGGATGCAGTATTCCAGGTGTGGTCTATAAAGCTTTATAAGGCTTTATAAAGCAGAACTAATACTTCACGTGATTTTGATTCTATGTCTCTGTTTATACAACCAAGGATTGTGTTAGCTTTTGGGGCTGCTGCCGCACACTGCTGGCTCATGGTCAAATGACCGTCCACTAGAACTCCAAGGTCCCTCTCACAGTTACTGTTTTTGAGTCGGGTTTCACCTAATCTGTACTTAAACCTTTGGTTTTTCCGGCTTAGGTGTAAAACCTTGCTTTTCTCCACATTAAATTAAATTAAATTAAAAAACCATATCAGTTATTCTGCTAAGAAATCCTTTTCTGCAGCAGCCTAGCTGACTTTAAAAAATTGCAGATGGCCTAAAATCATGGCTCAGAAGAGGCCATTGAATTCAACTTCTCTGTTCAAAGAAGGAATTAAAATTAAGGCATCTCTGGGAGACGAGTGTCTAGCTCTGCATAAAGATAACCAGAAAAGGGGGACCTGTCTTCTCTCTCCGGTCATTTTCCTGTACATCTTCTAGTCATCAAAGTAAAATAGCAGTAATGATAGGCTTCATATCATTTCAATAGGTATTGAGTGGTGCTATGAAGATGAGGAAATGGACTGTCACTAGTCTAGTATCAAGCCACTCTTAGTGTGAATTTGTAATATTTAACTGAAATCTGACTTCTTATAATTTAAGACAATTAACTTTTCATCTAGTATCTCAGACACAGAAAAGATGGGTTGGTCTTCTTCTACCTGACACTTCTGTTGTTGTTTTTCCCCTCTTTTCTTTTCCTTAATGTAATTTGACCCCAATATTTATCAAAGCTAATTTTTCAGACATCCTAATTTACACAAATGACTCCAAATTGTTTTCAATGCTGTTTTAAGCCAAAGGAACCATTATCTTAGTTTGCAGTTCTTACCTTCAGGTCTCCGTCCTCCAAATATGATGCCTTCAATTGGGACTCCTTCTGGATTTTCCCAGGCAGGATCAATGATAGGACACTGGCTAGCCGGACAGCAGAATCGGGAATTGGGATGAGCACAAGGCTCCTCTGTTCAAATATATTCAGACAAATATAGGTCACATTTTCATCATTGCACTAACCAAAAATGCAACCCAAATAATAGAGAAATGGAAGGATAGGTCTCCTTCATACCATTCTCGGCAGTCCATTTTTTCTTTTTCCAAGATAAGAGTGTGACTCCTGATGGAAGCTCCTGATCAATACCTTCCCAATATATGCCTCCATCAGTAGTTTCTCCTACATTGGTGAAGATGGTATTCTTTTTTATTGTCTTCATAGCATTGGGGTTGGTTTTCATAGAGGTTCCAGGAGCAACTCCAAAAAAGCCATTCTCTGGATTGATGGCTCTTAAATTACCTAGGAAACATTAGGTAAGATGCTACTTTCAGATATCATTCACCAGGTGGTTAAGATGCCGGAGAGGCAGCAGGATCTTTTCTATTATCGTCATCTGCTCCTCTTTCTGCCCATTCATCACTGCTTATTCTCTTCCCTCTACAGAGATTCTCAGTCATCCCAAGTCATGGTTGTTCCAAAGGTGCTTTTTTTTTTTTCAAAAGGCAACTGGATTTTCTTTGCTTTTGCTTGAAGACGTTTCGCTTTTGGATGAGAAACGAAACATCTTCAAGCAAAAACAAAGAAAGTCCAGTTGTCTTTGAAAAAAAGCACCTTTGGGACTTACCTCTGAACATTCATCAACGCAGTCTTTACCCAACTCTGCTGTAATCTTTCCTTTCTTTCACCTCTAGGGGGTAATTAGGGGACTGGAGGCTAAAACATATAAGGAACGGCTGCTGGAATTGGGTAGGTCTAGTTTAATGAAGAGAAGGACGAGGGGGGACATGATAGCAGTGTTCCAATATCTCAGGGGCTGCCACAAAGAAGAGGGAGTCAAGCTATTCTCCAAAGTGCCCTAAGGTAGGATCAAGAAGCAATGGATGGAATCTAATCAAGGGGAGAAGCAACTTAGAACTAAGGAGAAACTTCCTGACGGTTACAATTAATTAGTGGAATGATCTGCCTCTGGAGGCTGTGAATGCTCCAACACTGGAAGTTTTTAAGAAGAGACTGGACAGCCATTTGTCTGAAATGGTATAGGGTTTCCTGCCTGAGCAGGGGGTTGGACTACATGACCTACAAGGTTCCTTCCAACTTTATTACTATTACTATTATTTTTGTATTCCTTAATTCCATCTGGTACTCTCTGATCGAAGTGGGATTACTACTCCCAAAATTTAAGCTGGCGTGGAAGGATAGTGACAGCGTGGGGGCAGGTTACCCTAACTGTGAAATGACCAAAGTTGAAATATCCTGAGCCTCTTAAATGATCATTTAGGATTCTTCCCCTCCTTCACTTAATCAGCTGCATTCACAAAATGTGCAATTTCCCAGCCCGCCCCTCTAATTGCCACTATATTCTCTCCTGGGAATGTTGGAATATTCTCCCATTTTTGTAAGCAACTCAGTCTCATATACTTCAAGGGCTCGCCACTTCTTCACTTCTTGCCACATCCTTCACCACCTCTCATTCTATAAAGCAATCCAGAATGCTAGAGAAAGCCCTTGGAGAACAATCGTTCTAATGCCCAGGGTTTGGCATCTGCAGAACCCTTGACTCCAACTACAACTGGTATGACTTATAAGGTAATTGCAGCAAAAACTGTTTATTGGCCCTACTTCTAGGAAGCTCAGTAGCAGTGCCAGATCTCTGGAATAATCTCACAGTTGAAATTGAACTGCCCCCCCCCCTTCCTGAAGGCTCCAGGGAAGACACTTAAAACTGAATTATTTTGTAAAGCATTCTAGCTTGGATTTTGCCATCAATTTATTTTTACTGGTAAGTGGGTGTATCTTATGAAATAATTTTGCTTTAGAAGTTTTTAATTTATGCTATGGATATTTTACTGTTGCCTTATATATCATGCAAACTGCAAAGTCAATTTTGACTGCCTGAGGGTATAAATTCAATAAATAAATAGTGCACACAGATGACTGTCTCAAATGTCTACAAATTAATCATTACCTTTTCCTTTCTTGGAACCACAACACAACTGGTAAGAGGGAAAATATATAGATGAGTATAGTTTCCTACCTAACTGAAGCAGGGTTTTTGGACTATCAACTCCCAGCTGAATTCTAAGTCAATTACCTTTGTCATCGAATTTCATCCAAGCAATATCGTCTCCAATACATTCCACTTTCCACCCTGGCAAAGATGGATTCATCATAGCCAGGTTGGTTTTTCCACATGCGCTAGGAAAAGCTGCTGCAAAGTATTTTTTTTCACCTTTTGGATTTGTGATTCCTAAAATCTGTTTTAAAAACACAAGCAATGTCTTTTTTTTTTCCCCAAACCTCACCATGCAGCACAAGCAAAAACATTAAGATGTATGAAATGTTCAAACTTGTCATTATTCTGAAATTGTATGTGACTTCAACTAGGCTTGTTGCAGGTGAAATATAGTTTAGGCAATGTAAGATTGTAGTTTACACCAGGAGTGTCCAACCTTGGCAACTTTAAGACTTGTGAACTTCAACTCCCAGAATTCCCCAGCCATCATGAAGTTGAAGTCTTAAAATTACCAAGGTTGGACACCCCTAGTTTACACTATGCTAAAATTGTATAGATGTTTGTACATTTTCTTCAGAGTGCCTATACTTTTCTCTGTTTGAGAAAATCCCACTCCGAGATGAGAAGCAGAATATAAACGTTATAAATAAATAAATACACATCTGCTGCCTAACCCTGAATGAATGACTCTGGCTGACTCACAAATAAACATACCCTTTTAAAGTTTTATTTTTAATCCTACTCAAAGCATTCAGGGACTACTGCTTTAACATCAAAATAGGCATCTCATGAAAAATAAGACAGGCATAACTTTTATCTCATAGTGCCTAATCCATTCTTCTGGTTGCTATGCATGAATTTTCCATATTTAAGTATTTTGCTCCTTGTCTAACCCATTTTTTGATGGAAACTGTAACTTACAGCTTCTTCAAAGCATCCCTCAGCCGTTGGGATGAAGCCTGTCCTCATTATTATTTTGGCACAATACAGGTAACTCTTGACTTAAAGTTCATTTAGCGACCGTTCAAAGTTACAACAGCACTGAAAAATGTGACTTATGACGTTTTTCACACGTAGGACCGTTGCAGCATCCCCAGGGTCACGTGATCACTATTCAGCCACTTGGCAATTGACTCATATTTATGAGGGTTGCAGTAGCCCAGGATCACGTGATCCCCTTTTGTGACCTTCTGACAAGCAAAATCAAAGGGAAAGCCGAATTCGCTCAACAGCCATATTTCTAACTTAACAACTGGAGTGATTCGCTTAACAACTGTGGCAAGAAAGATCGTGAAATGGGACAAAATTCACTTAACAACTGTCTCGCTTAGCAGCGGAAATTTTAGGCTCAATTGTGGTCATCGGTCAAGGATTACCTCTAGTCGAATGATTCTGGAAAATACCCTAGGTCAGGGGTAGGCAACCTTGGCTCTTTGATGATTCGTGGACTTCAACTCCCAGAATTCCTGAGCCAGCATGGCTCAGCTTGGAAACCTCTCCCTTTCCCCTCAGCATGGCTGGCTCAGGAATTCTGGGAGTTGAAGTCCATGAGTCATCAAAGAGCCAAGGTTGCCTACCCCTGACCTAGGTTGAGAGTGGAGAAATTACTTTGGTTTAACTGGGAGCAGAACATCTCTGCATAATTTTTGGACTTGTAGATGTTATATGCTTTAATTTAATAGTATTCCAAAATTGGGCATTCTGAGCCAGGTGTGGGAATACAACATACTGAGAATAGAACTGACCTGAGAGCTTATAGTCTTCATTATCAATATTCTACTTGGGCCCCCATTCTCCATGACATTTTTTTTTCTATTACTCAAGTCAGAAAGACATGCTGATTCAAACTCTTAAATATACTTTTTCAGTGGATGCCTATCTATCAAAGCATCCTTACAGAATTTAGTGGAAACCCTTCTCCATTTTTTAAATACTCATACACGAGTCCAGAGATGGGTTCTAGGAGGAATTAAGCAATCATGAACTTTCATACATGGGTCTATAGCCATGCTGGCCCTGGATTGACGTCTTAGTCTGTGGACTGGAATTGAAAATAATCTAGTCATTAAAACCTTTCTCACCAGCATGTGCTCTGCAAGCCAACCTTCTTCCTTGGCAATCCTGCTGGCAATCCTGAGAGCAAAGCACTTCTTTCCTAGAAGGGAGTTTCCACCGTAGCCACTTCCAAATGAAATGATCTCCCTGTGATCAGGGATGTGAGCAATCAACGTCATATCTGGATTGCATGGCCAGTTATTCACTAGAGGCTCTACAAGAAGCAAAACAGAACTTGTTAACTTCCAGCTGATCACCTGAATAAAAGTTACATCCATTTTTTTTGTATTTTTACCATGTACCCTTTCGAAACAATACAGCATGGATAGACAGGTAGTCCTCAGCTTACAACAGTTCATTTAGTGACTGCTCAAAGTTAGAACAACAACGGTTGCTGGAATTGGGTATGTCTAATTTAACAAAGAAAAGGAAGAGGGGGGACATTATAGCAGTGTTCCAATATCTCAGGGGCTGCCAACAAGAAGATATTGGAGTCAAGCTATTCTCCAAAGCACTTGAAGGCAGGACAAGAAGCAACGGATGGAAACTAATCAAGGAGAGAAGCAACCTAGAACTAAGGAGAAACTTCCTGACAGTTAGAATAATTAACCAGTGGAACAACTTGCCTCCAGAAGCAGTGAATGCTCCAATACTGGAAGTTTTTAAGAAGAGACTGGACAGCAATTTGTCCGAAATGGTATAGGGTTTCCTGCCTGAGTAGGGGGTTGGACTAGATGACCTCCCAAGTCCCTTCCAACTTTATTTATTTATTTATTTATTTATTATTATTATTATTATCATCATTATTATTATTAATATTGATCATTGCACAGTCAGCCAGATGTTCAGACTGGATTTGGCATTTTGTCTACCTATCGAGTCCTTACCCAGGACCTGGGATAGGCAGATGTGGATGTTTGATGGTATTACAGCTATCGTCGCAGGATGGAAGCAGTTCCTAGTAAGGCCGTCTTTTGCAATTGACTAATAGCGAATTTGTCAATGCCAATGGTGTTCAAGTGGTGCTCCAGTTGTTTTGGGATTGCACCCAAGGAGCCTATTACTATTGGTACTACCCTTGCTTGCTTTTGCCACAGTCTTTCTATTTCTATTTGTAGTCTTTGTATTTTGTTATCTTCTCCAGTTCTTTCTCGTCTATTCTGCTGTCTCCAGGCACTGCCACGTCCACTATCCAGACTTTTTTGTCTTTCTTATCGACAATTGTTAAGTCTGGGGTGTTATGTTGCAGGTGCTTGTCTATTTGAATTCTGAAGTCCCAGAGCAGTTTAATTTTATCATTTTCTATGACTTTTTATTATTATAATAATTATATTATATTATTATAATATTATATTATTATAATATTATGACATCATCATCATCATCATCATTATTATTATTATTATTATTATTATTATTATTATTATTATTATTATTATTATTATTTTCACATGACTGTTGCAGCATCCCAGGGTCAGGAGATCAAAATTCAGACGCTTGGCAACTGGTAGGTATTTACGATAGTTGTAGTCCCCTGGGGTCCTCTGATCACCTTTTGTGATCTTCCGACCAGCAAAGTCATTTAACTGCCATGTTACTAACTTAACAACTACAGTAATTCACTTAATAAATGTAGCAACAAAGATTGTAAAATGGGGTAAAATTCACTTAACAAATATCTCACTTAGCAAACAGAAATTTTGGGCTCAACTGTGGTCATAAGGCAAGGGCCATCTGTATTCCTTTATCTTCTGTTTGGTAAATAAAAATTGAGTCATAATACAGTGCAGAATTATTTGCTCATCTAGCAGTGATACAGTGGCTCGCAGTAGACCACGTTCTTTGAAAAACACTAATTCTTCCTGGGTGCTTTGAGAAAAGGAAGTGATGGGAAACAGTGGACCAGATCGCACTTAATTTTCTCATCCAAGCTACAATTGAGTCATTTGGAAGAACCCCAAAATATTTACGAATGCTTTGTTGGTTCTTTCTTTGATGAATAATTTCTGGTTTGTTGCATTTAATGACCAACCAGTCCCAACTTAGCATCTCTTATTCGAAGAGATACTTGGCAACTCCATAACTACAGCACTCTAAATATTCTGCTTGATAAATAAATTAACGATGACAATGATCGTTTGGGAAAGAGAATGAACAAAGTACATTTTAGCTTAAGAATGGCTTACTTTTTAAGGGTAAAGGGCACCCAACCGAATGGAGGCATTTTACAAATTCTCCATCACCCAGAGCCTCTAGGACAGATGTTCCCATACGAGTCATAATTTTCATACTGGCCACCACATAAGGCGAATCAGTCAGCTCAATCGCAAACTTGGATAAAGGAGAACCAATCGGTCCCATGCTGAATGGAATGACATACATGGTGTGACCTGCAAAAGAGAATGAGAGGATAGAATCCTAAACAAAATTATAATTCTCTACTAAGTTATATAGTAGTCTTAAGAAAAGATTGGACAGCTGTTTGTCCAAAATGGTATAGTGTCTTCTGCTTGAGGAGATGGTTGGACTAGAAAACCTCCAATGTCCCTTCCAGCTCTGTTATTCTCCCCATTCAGACAGCCTGCAGTTGAACTAGACTCCCATCATTGTGAGCCACACTTGGAATACTGCATCCAGTTTTGGTCACCACGATGTAAAAAAGATGTTAAGACTCTAGAAAGAGTACAGAGAAGAGCAACAAAGATGATTAGGGGACTGGAGGCTAAAACATATAAGGAGCGGTTGCTAGAATTGGGTATGTCTAGTTTAACGAAGAGAAGGACAAGGGGGGACATGATAGCAGTATTCCAATATCTCAGGGGCTGCCATAAAGAAGAGGGAATTAAGCTATTTTCCAAAGCACCTGAAGGCAGGACAAGAAGCAACGGGTGGAAACTAATCCAGGAGAGAAGCAACCTAGAACTAAGGAGAAACTTCCTGACAGTTAGAACAATTAATCAGTGGAACAGCTTGCCTCCAGAAGCAGTAAATGCTCCAACACTGGAAGTTTTTAAGAAGAGACTGGACAGCCATTTGTCCGAAATGGTGTAGGGTTTCCTGCCCGAGCAGGGGGTTGGACCAGATGACCTCCAAGGTCCCTTCCAACTTTACTACTATTATTATTATAACCAGGTTAACAAAGGCTGCTCCCTATTCGATACTCTTTTCCTGTTTCTCCAATAAAATGCACATTTATGGGTAAAGGTTTTGTTTTGTTTACAGAACTTAGGTACAAATCATTTTAATACTAGGTTAACATCTGGCAAAATCAGCATGTAAGGGCTAGATTCCAAATTCAAAAGAATTAAGCAAACATTCTGCCAGTTAATGGGAGTTGGATTTATTGATTACTACTCTTTAGCCCCATGTTTTACTGCAAATTTATGCCAAACTCCAGCAATGTGTCATTAAGCTGTTCCAAGTTTAAGTTTAGAGGATAAGAGTAGACTGCAGACTCATTCTATCTTTGTGGAATTTGTGGTCTCACTAAGGAGGTTCAAAGGGCAGACATGACAACTTGATCATCAAAGAGGACATATCAATTATATTGGGAAACCTTTAAGTTTTGCAGAAGTTCTGGGACATCTCCAAGGGAAGATGTTTGAAAAAAATAAGGGGGATGGCAGCTCTCAGGGAAGGAAACAGAGTAGCCGAATAACTGCAACGTTTTTTTGTTGAGTCTAGGCCAGGGGTAGAAAACCTTGGTGCTTTTATGACTTGTGGACTTCAACTCCCAGAATTCCTGAGCCAGCTATGGTGGCTCAGGAATTCTAGGAGTTGAAGTCCACGAGTTATAAAGGCGCCAAGGTTGTCTACCCCTGGACTCTAGGCCATTCTAATCCTTCATAAAATACATTTGAAGAGGTAGATGATTGGATTCCAAAACAGTAGTTGAAGAGTTATATACTGCTGTCCGTCCAAATCCATGGTACTTGATCAGTCTAGCAAACCTAAAGAGAGCTAGTGTCAATGCTGCAAATACTGTATATTCTTGCTTTGACAATGTGCAGAGCTGTCTGGCATTTATTGGGTTAATACTTAGCTTAGACTGGGCGGGGGAAAAAAGCCCGGGAAAGAAAGAGGAAGTAAACGTTTGACCTTCTCGCTGGTTGGATAATGTGACCTGTGACTGCATGAGAAGGGAGGGGTTGAGCAAGGAAAGCTTGATGCCAGCGACCGGAGGTTCAGATTCTGGCATCAATTAGTCCAATGGTGACCGGCATAAATTGTAGCTCTGCAAATAAAGACTTTAGGAAAGCCTGAAAGTTCTTTGAAGTGCTTCATTAGTCGGAACATGTGACAGCTAGTATTAAATAACTGGTATTACAGGCCGACCCAAACATAACTATAGGTAAATCATCATTCTACTGGTTTTCCAGAGGTAAAAATAATTATAATAAAGGCATCATTGGCTGTGGTGTTCACACTCACTTCATTATTAACAGAATTTGCTCTTTTTGTTGGGCTTACAAGGATTGCTTAGCCATGGAACAAATAAAAAAAAAATGTTTTGTGAACATCTTTGAAGCATTGTTCTTCTATCTCACCATGGATAGGAGCTGCTGTATTTTAATTCTAACTATAAAATTCTTTTTGGGGTCTCTACCTTCCATGCACCCAGGGAATCTGATTCTGAAGGCTTTCTCAAAGTCTTCCTCCGACATCCATCGTCCCAGCTGGCTCACTCCACTTTTGGGGATCGGGATGGTGTCTCGCTGCTCTGGAGTCACAATTACAGTTTTGCTTTCAATTCTGGCCACGTCCCTTGGATCTGTGCAAGCTAACCAGCTGCGGAGATGAGAAGCTGAACATTTACACTTGTCATGTGAGCAATAAAAATGACAGAAATCCAATTCAATTTCTCCTTATCTCAAGACAGTCTAGCATCACACAATGCTGGATCGTGAAAGGAATATTATTTATTTAAGTGCAGTCAAACCATTTGCTCCTAGTGATGTTTTGCTAATGAAAATGACTTTATTCTTGACAGAGACATTTCACAAATGGAGCCCAACTCCTGCTAGGTTCTCAACTAGCTTTTTAAAACTACTTTTAGGGAGGAGAAGCAAAACTGAGATAAAATAAGCAATAACCACCTCATTATCTAAAATAGTGTGGTGCATTCCCCATTACTAATTGGAATGAAAAATAATGGAAATGCCTTGTTATATTTATTTCCAAACATTAAAACTTCCAGATGCTTTATATTTATTTCCATACATTAAAACTTCCAGAAGCTTTATATTTATTTCCCAACATTAAAACTTCCAGACGCTTTATATTTATTTCCAAACATTAAAACTTCTAGAGTTTCTAGAATGGAATATTCAGACTCCAACATTGGAATATTAGACAGGAGATCTCAAGATACTTTCAGTCCAGGAGAAATCTTTAGAGCATGGAAAAAGCCACAATGGTAAACATGACTGTATGAAGTCGTATCTGCTTTTTATGTATTTTGCATGTGCAAGAATCTAAAAACAGGATTAAGGCTTTCATTGTGCAACCATAATTGCCATCTTGACTTTCTGAAATCCCTCACCCACCACAGTCAGTATTCTCTTTCTGTTTTATTCCAAAACTGTCCCAAATATGTTTTTTCTCTACACAAGTCCATATACACATACAGATGAATCAAAAACTCTACAATTGGAGAGTTTGGGGTGACCACCTCTCTCAAGACTCTTCTATGCCAAATGCTTAAAAGCAATATCCAAATGTTGCCTAAATATTCATGGTCGTTTAGGAAACTTCTACCAAATCTCCTCGGCAAAAAAAAAAAAACTTGTTATTCTGTTTTTTTTTTATTCTACAAAAAATTAACTGATCAAAAAATTCCAGTGCAAATTTAAGATAGGGCATACTTTGCGACTTTTGAAAAAAGATAAATCTTTGCAACATTTTTTAGCAGTGCTACTCATTAGAGAGACAAATTAACCTTAATGCTTTACTGAAGATTTTAGTGAAAGGAGAAAGATCAAGTTTTCATGGTATGTACTCAATTCATATGGAGCCCTTAACTATGACTATTTATGCCACAATCTCTGTGCCTGTTTCTTGATCTTTTCCCAGTACCTTTTCTCTGCCACATCCCTGTGAAGTTATCTACATCTTAAGAACAAACCTAAATCATTTATTTGTTTAGCAATATGCTTAGGACTACTGCCTTTTAGATTACTAAACTTCAAAGAACAAGAGGTATAACACTGTACATAGAGAATGTCTCTGTGCAGAATGCTACCCATAAGTTATCTGAAGCTGCTGCCTCATCTTAGAGATAATAATGAAAAGAAATGAGAAATAGAGCTGCATTTCCTTGAAGGTGGAACCACACACACACACACACACACACACACACACAAATATGTATGTACTGTATGTACTGTATGTATGTATGTAAAACCAGTTTGGTCTAGTGCAGCAGTTCTCAACCTGTGGGTCGCAACCCTTTTGGGGGTCGCACAAGCCTTTCACAGGGGTTGCCTAAGACCATCGGAAAACACATATTTCCGATGGTCTTAGGCAGGGCTTGTCAACCGCCTTCTCTCCCTCCCCCCCTGCTCCACCTCACTTGTTTGTGGAAAATATGCTGCTTGGCGGCAGTCTGCACGAACTCTACTAAATGTGCCCTGCAGGGGGCGCATGAAGAGCGCAAGCACAAAGCAAGGCCCCGCCCTCCACAGGGACTCATTGTGCAGCAACCGGATTGACTTCTTCTCATGCACGCAGGTCAGTGAAGGGGAGGCCGCCGCAGCACCCAACTCCTGCGCCTGTCAGTTGGCGACCCCCGAACTTGCACTTGTCAGCCGGGAGGTCTGGTGACGGCTGCCAGTCTCCTTTGCCACCCCGCCCATCCTCGACTCCTCCTCTGCCCGTTCATGTCGAGCCCGCCGGGGAGAGAGGGAGAGAAGGGGCTCCACCTCCTCTCCTAAGCTTCAAAGCACGATCGGCTTCCCAAGGGCGCCACAATCTTCATGAAAGTGGGGGAGGGTGGTGAAGCAAAGGGGGCGAGAAAGCTCACGGCGGGCTCGAAGCAGCACCTGTCAGGGTTGGTGACGAGAAATTCCTCACAAACCCAGGGAAGGGGTGGAGAAAAGGAGCCCCCTTTGGGAGGAAACTGCCACCTTCTTCTCCTTGGCTTTCCACTCTTCTGTTTCTCGGCAGCCAGGCTGCCAAGCCTCTGCTGGCTGGAACTTCCTTTCCTTCCCTCCCTCTTGATCTCTTCCTCCTTACCTCCCTCTCCCATTGTCCCTTCCTTCCTTCCCTTCGCCTCCCTCTTTGTCCCTCCTTCCCTCCCTCTTTCCCCTTGTCCCTTCCATCCTTCCTTCCTTCCCTCTTGTCCAGGATCGGGGCGAACCTCTACAGCTGATCCGCGCTTTTGCAGAGTAGCCAAGAAGCGAGTCAGCTTTAACAGCTCTCCTTGGCTCCTGCCCAGCAACCTTGCTCAAGCTTTGCTAGAAAACATGCCGCTTGCTAATTTAGCAGAAGTGTGAATCAGCTGTAGCCCGGCATTGATCCTGGGGCTTCTGCTAACTTAGCAAGTGGCTTGTTTTCTGGCAAAGCTGAGCAAGTGAGCTGGGTGGAGCTCTCCTCTGCCTCTGGCAGCCTGTCCCCCTCCCCTTGCCCCTTCCTGGGCACAGAGGGGGGGAGGAAGGGATGAAGAGGGAGGGAAGTAAGGGACAATGAGAGAGGGAAGGAAGGAAGGAACAATGGAAGGAAGGGAAGGAAGGAAGGGACAAAGAGGGAAGGAAGAAAGGAAGGAAGGAAGGAAGGAAGGAAGGAAGGAAGGAAGGAAGGAAGGAAGGAAGGAAGGAAGGAAGGAAGGAAGGAAGGGACAATGGGAAAGAGGGAGGGAAGGAGGAAGAGACTAAAGGAGGTGAAGGAAAGGAAGGAAAGAAGGAAGGGACAATGGGAGAGAGGGAGGGAAGGAGGAAGAGACTAAGGGAAGTTAAAGAAAGGAAGGAAAGAAGGAAGGAAGGGACAATGGGAGAGAGGGAGGGAAGGAGGAAGAGACTAAGAAGGAGGTGAAGGAAAGGAAGGAAAGAAGGAAGGGACAATGGGAAAGAGGGAGGGAAGGTAGAAGAGACTAAGGGAGGTGAAGGAAAGGAAGAAAAGAAGGAAGGAAGGGACAAGGGGAGAGAAGGGAGGGAAGGAAGGCAGGCACCCACCCCAGTCCCATCCCAGAGACCCACAGATTCCCCCCCACAGGCATTCTGCAACCTGAGTGATCAGCTGGCCACGCCCCCTGGCCATTGATCACATGACCCTGGGACACTGTGAACGCCATAAGTATGAATCAGTTGTCAAGCATCCGAATGTAAATCACATGACCCTGGGGATGCTGCAACAATCATAAGTGTGAAAAATGAACATAATTCGCTTTTTCAGTGCTGTTGTAACTTCAAACAGTCACTAAGCGAATTGTTGTAAGTCTAGGACTACCTATATTTTCCCATTTTTCCTTTTTTTTTGGTGACGTTTTTGATACCCCCCGGCCAGGTGGATGGGGGGTTGGGGGTCACCACAACATGAGGAACTGTATTAAAGGGTCGCAGCATTAGGAAGGTTGAGAACCACTGGTCTAGTGGTTAAGGCATGAGGCTAAAAAGCGGGAGACTATGAGTTCTAGTCTCACTTTAGCCATGAAAGTCAACAGGCTGACTTTGAGCCAGTCAGTTTCTCTCAGCCCAACCCACTTCACAGGGTGTTGTTCTAGAAAAAATAGTAGAAGGAAGGTGTATTGGATATGTTTGCTGCCTTGAGTTATAGGTAAAATATAATGCAGGTGGGATACAAATATTTTTACATACATATATACGTTTATACATACATACCTGCAATATATACATATGTGTGCATGTGTGTCTGTGTATGTATGTGCATATCTCTGTCTCTGTCTCTATTCCTTCCTGTTTTCTTCCTGATTTTCAGGAGTTGCCGCTTGTTTATTAGGAAGCATTAACGTATCTCCTTCCTATGCTAGTCTCAATATTAACTCCTAAAGCAATAAAACAAAATTTTATGAAGCATTTTAGGGTTGCATATAGTTTAAGAACAATGTGGCCAAGCTTCAGTAGATTTTTTTTTTAAATCTTCATTAAGACTTTTAGGACCTCCTGTATAAATGAGACACACAATGAAAACTCATTTAAACTAACCTCCAATTAATTTATTTAACCTCTAATTGTAGGGAAGAGGGTTCTATTATTTGTTAAAGTCTGGTAAATCAAAAAGTCCATCATGGCAATAGAGCCAAAGATGCAAACTATGATACTTGGGTCAATTATATTACTATATGGGTATGATTGCATAATTTGTGCTAATCACAAACTGGTGTTATTGTTGAATTGGCATAAATTGCAATGGAATTTGATCTGTGGCATGAGAAATCTGTGGTATCAAGTCCTAGAAAATCTAAGTTTCAATGAACCAGGAAACTAAAGAGGAGATCTTCTTAGCTTATTCTTCTAGGTTCCAGCTAAATTGTCTGTTTTATTTTGTGTTCTTAATGTACTGCATGTGTAATTATTCTTTCAAGCAGTTGAAGAAATAAACTTATAAAATTTCTCCCTAAAGTTTGGAAAAGGGGAGAGCTGGTCTGCACTCCAGATACCAGTTTCTAGAAATTTGTTTTATAGTTGCTTACCCAGACCAGAAATTTACTTCCAACCCCACACGTTACATTTATTCTGTGTTTACAAAGATTGAATGTATTACTTGATTTTATTTCATCTTTTCTGCACAAAGAAGACAGATCCCAACAATTAAAAATAGAATTACTGTAAAGTAGCAAAGAAAGGTGAAATTTGTAGAACAAAACTAATGATTTTGAGAAATATTGCTATCTGAAGTTTTCTCGGGCAAAGACATTCAATAATGAGAAAATCTTTACCTATTGATATTTTGATAGCTACGTAGCCACTAAAAATATGGCACATCCATTAAAGAGTGGCAGTTGTGTATTGGAAAAATGTAGAAAAAAGAAAGGGAACTTTGGTTTTTATTCTTCCCTACATTGAACTATCCAGGAAGAAAATTAAATTAACGGCATTAACACACTAGCTACTTATGAACAGATCCCTATTGCTGAGCTGATCTATTCTCCATTCTTTGTTGACGTAGTCTGGCATGAAATATGCTGCCCCATAGTGGATCCCTATCTTGTCTCTATTGCCTCTCTTCCTGGTCACTTCTAGATGTCCCTTTGAACAGAGTTTCAGGATGCTTTTGGACAATGCTGGAATAAGGGATGAAACACAGAGGAAAGGAAAGTTACTTCAAACCCATATAACACCACTAAGTACAAACTGGGGAAAGCCCTAAGGAAAGGAACATTGTATTTGGCTTCGCACATCACATAATACTGGTCCCTTACCAATTTTCATATTTCTTAAGCTTCTTGATCATGCCTTGTTCCACCATCAGCTCCAAGATCTTTTTGTTCTCATCCTCTGATCCGTCACAGATATGGATGGCCTTTGGTTGGCACAGCTTGGCATTGCTTTCAATGAAGTTTCTCACGTTGGGTGCCAAGCTCTTCAAGTCCCCTTGGACCACTTTTGGAGTGGCATTCATTCGTGTTTGCACTTGGGGTGGCATTGCTTGTTTTTTTTACAAGTGATGATGATAAAGAGAATATTTAGCCTATGAGATAAATTGCAAATTATAGAGAGGAAAAAGATAGTGTGTTTCCTTTAATTCATTAAAATTTATAACTGTTTAGCAAAAAAACATTTAAGAAGATAAGAATGGATACTGCCTTCAACTGAACTAAACCAAACAAATGGATGTGCTATCTACAGCAAGGGGTGAACAACCTGTTACTCACTAGAAGTTTTGAAACTATCTCTACCAATCCTTGGTCATTGGCTGAGTTAGAACTGATAGGTTCTGGAATCCAACAAATCTGAAAAAAAATACTAGCAGTATCCCAAACTCAAAACATCAAGGATAGATGCCAGGAAGAGAAACACCAGATTTTTTTTGCATGGTATGAATATGTTCTATCACCAATTTATAACTTTTCTCAAAAAAAGAAGCAATTTTTTTCAGACTAAGCAATACAAGTCATCACAAATCAATTCACAATTCACAAAAAAATGTAAATCGTTTTTTTAAATCAAAATATCAAAATGCATGCAGGGGTTATATATGTAAATACTTACTTTACCAGAGTAGTTTCAGTTCTTAGCTTTGGAGAAGATTTAGTTGGTCCTTTCAGAGAACATGATGCTGCTTATTAAAATTCTTCCTGGGACTTCTGGTTTTTCTTCCTTAAATACTCTGTCTTGCTTAGTCCCTCCCACCTCTCAAGGTAAAGGGGGCTTGTCTCTTCAATCACCCCAGGGAAAGGTTCTTCTGACATCTTGCCAAGGATGGATATCTGCAGAAACATCCGACAAACAGTAGTCACAAAGGGGTTATCATTTACCAGGCTCAATTAATGAGTGTTTGAAGTAGATGCTCTTCAGACCTCTTGTCTTCTCAGTATTTTTTTTTTTTAAGTCCCTTTTACGAAATGCCTTGGCTTGACCAACCTTTGGCCCAGTTCTAGCCCTGATTGGAGAGAGGGGGGGGGGAACCTGTCATCATTTCTCAGTAGAAGTGAAAGGCTGAGCACACACAGCAGATGGTTGCAGCAGCTGAGACCAAGGGCACTTCTGTGTAGTATTTAGAAAAGCAGGTTTTGTCGTCACAGTAACGGCCTGTTGGCTGCGAACTGGAGGCTTGCCCTGGGTGTGTTTTCTACCCTTTGGATTCCCCCTAAGAGAGGAAGAAAGGAGAAGGACTAAATAGCAATTCAAGAGCAGCCAAGGCTATGTTTGCATTCTGTTCACATCTCATGGTTCCCATATTCTGGATGAACGGAAACATTTTAATTTGGCTTGGAAGAAAGGTCAGAGGTGCATTGCTTTGGATACTTCTTCCAAGTTGATCTCTCATCTTCCAGTCTAGATCTCAGTAGATTCAACCATTTCCTTCCTTTCCTGTTTTTCCAAAAGTAGAGAGAATCATTCATTTCCGGGAAAAATGGCCCCAAATATTTTCCTACCTGAGCTGTAAATCAAGCTGCTATCCTTTTCCCATTCATGTGCGAAAGTCAAGTGGACTCTTAGCTGTGTCCTTCTTCAACATGGATGGTGGACAGAATTATCCCTTGCCCTGAAGGGGATATGTTGAGCAGGCACAAACAGCAGGTGGTCTCTGAGACAAGATGGAAAGGAGGAGTAAGCAGATCACATAGAAGATCAAGATGTACTCTTTATCAAGAGTTCTAGAGAGGATAAGGAATACAGGTAGTCCTTGACTTACAACCATTCATTTAGTGACTGTTCGAAATTACAACAGCACTGAAAAAAGTTGGCATGATTGTTTTTCACATGGTCTTTGCAGCATCTTCATAGTCACGTGATCAGAATTTAGAAGCTTGGCAACTGGCATGTATTTATGATGGTTGCAATGTCCCAGGGTGATTGTGATGACCTTTTGCAACTTCTGATCAGCAAAGTCAATGGGGAAGCAAGATTCACTTAACAACGTGTGACTAACTTAACAACTGTAGCAAGAAGTAAAAGGGGACCAAGCTCACTTAACAAATGTTTCACTTAGCAACATAAATTTTGGGTTCAATTGTGGTTGTAGGGCAAGGACTATCTGTATGGCTTTATGCTACAGCAAGGCAGATTTCAGTCAAATGACAGGAAAAAAAATTCCTAGCAGTTTGATTGGGGAACCAATTACTAGAAAGGTAGGGATCCAAGTCCCCAAGTCCCCCAAACAAGGACTGGAGAGCCTTTGTCAGGGATGGCTTAATATTTTAAGTTTAAAACTACATCAAATAAATAAACCTGTTAGCTGTGGTCAAATAGTCAAGATGGCAGCCAAAATGGTGTGCCTGGAGCACCATCGGGTTTTTTTTTTATATGGATTGCATGGGTGGTGCTTTGATCATCTCCTGTGAATATCCCAGGGCTGAAATCAACCTCAGAGGAAAGATCTATATGACCATCTAAATGCTGTGGAACAGGAGAACTGAAAGCGGGCAATCACTGCTCTTAGAAAATGGGCAAATAAACATAAATCAATCTGTGCTTCCCAACTGACATGGTGAAATTTTGTTTCCTTCTCTCTATCTTCATGGAAGGCTGGAGAAAAATTGGGATCAAAAAAGAATGTGGGTGGATGAAAGAAACTCAGGAAACAGAATCTAATGGAGAAGTGATCAGATGCGCTCAACTGAAGCCCATAATCTGGATAACTTTTTTCTCAGCAACATCAATCAGATATATCCTGTGTCCTATAGTTGGTGTGCAGCAGCATAGCATTCATAATAACGATCAACATCTGCAAGATAATGGCAGTGGCTGTGCAATTAAAGCTGTGCTTTTCTTTTTATGTATACCTCATCCTGCCTTTTTTGACCATCCCTTTCCAATGCCAAAAGTATCTTGAAAATAAATGGGGGAAAAAGAGAAGCTCCATACACAGGGCTGGATGCACAAGGAAAAACCTTTTTTACAGGGGAAGAAAATGTAATATAGTACACATCGTACTGAAATTTGTACCAAAGATTTCATTATAATATTAGCAAAGCCGATGATAAAGGTAGAAATGTGGGCCTGTCTTAACTCTGTTGAAAATGTTTTACTTGCAGCAATTTTCCCCCAAAGACAGGCCAAAGTATAGAAGTTCAGCAAGTGCAGAATGAATGGAAAGATAATTGTGTCACTGCCTCAGCAGAATTGCATAACTGAGTGCCTCAAGCCTGGTATTTGGATTATTCTTAAAAGAATTCTCCTTCTTAAAAAGAATTAAATGCAATCATGGAGCAAGAAAAATGAATATAAATGGTAAAGGGGTGGGATTATCTCACCCCGTATAGAAAGATGACTATAGTTGAGGCTTTTTAAAGTAGGGACGCTAATAAAGAGAGAAGTGACAGAAATAGATCTAATAATACAAAATGCTCACACTTCCCCCCCCTTTCTTCTTATATATTAGAATTTGTCCAATGAGTTTGAACTTGTGGACAATTCACAGTCAAAGTTAAAGTACAGAATTTGACTAACACGGTGCAAAGCTAAACCAAAGAACTTCCAACAAGAAATGGGGTGAAGGCCACTAAGATGACTTTAGAAGAGACTGCATTAATTCATGGAAACAGGTTATCAGCATCTGCTAGATATGATGATCTCTAGGATCAGAAGCAGCATAACTCTGAGTACATCCCTTGCTGAACAATAACAGAAGCTGGACTAAAGCAGCTTTAACCTGATCTCCTCAGGTTCTTTTATGCTCTGTCAATAACTCAGTAACCAACAGTTGAACAAGTAATTGTGTTGATAAACAACATATGCTCAATTCCATATGAATACTGAACGGCAGGGGTAGGCAAAAAGCACATTCATGGTTCCCAAACGAACTTGGCTAGTTGCTGGTTGAGACACAGTATACTGTTCAAAACAGACCTTCAATGATCCCCATGGACAACAAAAGATATTATGTCCCATATATTAAAAGTTTAAGGTGAGAGGTTTTCAGAAATCAGGAGATATTGCTACCGTTTCATTGGCACTGGAAAGATGGCGGCCATTTCCCCAAGAGACTTACTGTATAGCATCTTCAAACCATCACTCAGCCATCACTGAAGTGATAAAAAAACCCAGTCCTTATTACTACAGATACTTCTCAGCTTACAACCATTTGCTTAGTGACTGTTTGAAATTACAACGGTATTGAAAAAAGTGATTTATGATTGGTTTTCACACTTAGGACAATTTCAGTGTCCTCCATGGCCATGTGGTCAAAATTGGCATCTGGCATGTACTTATGACTGTTGCAGTGTCCCAGGGACATGTGATCACCTTTTGTGATCTTCTGACAAGCAATGGGGAAACCAGATTCACTGAACAGCTGCAGTGATTCATTTAACAACTGTGGCAAGAAAGGTCATAAAATGAGGAAAAAATCACTTCACAACTATCTTGCTTAGCAATAGAAATTTTGGGCTACATTGTGGTCATAAGTTGAGGATTACCTATTTCTTTGGCCCAAAGATGATCAGAGGATTGTTATGTCATATTAAGAGATACACCAGATCTAAACATTTATGGTTCTTGATGTAGTCACTAGTTGAGTTGAGGAATGGGTAGCTATTTCTCCATTGCTGCTAGAGTGAAAATGGAAAGACCTGTTCTTTGCATGCCTGCCTGGATGTCCCTAGGGACAAATGTTGGCCACTAAAGTTCTATAACAGATGTTACTATGTGGGTACATATGCAGGTTCATGTGTGTGAATGTTTAAGTGTAATGGAAACCTTCTAATCTGTATGGCCCATAGATTAGGGGTGCCTACTAAGACCATCAAAGATTTTTTAAAAAAAATCTCCCCTGCTGACACAACTGATGCAGGAAATAAATAGTTAAAGCTGCAATGAAGCCAGAAATTGGTGATGTTTATCCTTGAAAGAACTTTGTGTAAACCTCATAACTAACCAAAGTGTGAGGCAGAATTGTGTGGTTAAACCTAAACCTACAGAAGTTAGCAGTTTTATTTCCAAAGGCAGGAATGGGAAAATTAAAGTCCATATTAGAATTTTTTCCCATTCAAGTTAAAAAATACTAAGAAAAAGTGTTCAAAGGATATTTCCCTCAAATCTTGGAGTAGATACTAGCCAAAGTAGCCAAAACTGAAGCTACTCAAAAAATCAATGGTCCCATTTACTATAAAGCATGAAAAATTGCTCTTTGGTGCATAAATTAAGAAGCTGCAAAATCCAACCTTTCTTATTGTGGAATCAGCTCACTTTCCTGCAAAATATTTCAGTAATATAACAAACATTAAAAGTATCATTGCTGTATGATACGGTATGCTAAAATTAATTCTAAATGTTTGGGATGATGTCAATATATATATGTGTGTGTGTGTGTGTGTGTGCGTGTGTGTGTTTTCTGAGGTTTTCGCGGGTGTTTGTGTGTAGGTATGTAGGTCTTTGATTATTCGGGTTTTCTCCCATGTAAAATTGGAAGTGTCTTGGCGACGTTTCGATGAAGTCTCATTCGTCATCTGCAGGCTGATAACCAAAGACCTACATATATATATACATACATACATACATACATACATACATACATACATACATACATATATATGTGTGTGTGTATATATATATGGTTAATGGTTGTAAAAATACGAATCCCGGGCATATTTGTTCAATGATGCAATCTTCAAGAGTATACTCCAGTTATTTATTGTTAAAACAACATTTAAAAACAATAAAAACAGTTATTAGGGCGTATGAATCGGCAGGTTAGGAGAGGAGGGGAGTTGGAGGAGGAAGATGAGATAGGAACTGGCAATGGAACGCAAAGAGAGGAGGGATTGAGGAGTGTGTTGGTAATAACAGCGCAGGGAGGGGGAGACGGCACAAGGATGACAGAGCAGAAAAACACAATATTAGAGTGCAAAAAAGAGAGGGCGGAACAGTTAAGGCAGTTACAGTCAATCAGGAAGAGTGGCCCTGTCAC